TACTTTTAAAGTTTGTGATGTGGTCACCGAGAAAGCCTTTTGGAGGAAACTTCACAGTCCCACAGTGTCATTGCCATACAGCTTCACTAGAATTCTTGAACCACAGCTGAAATGAGCCTTCTATTATTTTTCAGTCCCCCCAGATATTTAGAATTTTAATAATAAAGGTGGTGAGTAAAAACTTTGGAAAGAGCCTTTTCATTATGTTAGGTTGCAGGAAATTTTGTAGGTTTTGAGGTTTAACACATTGTGTATTATTAAATTTACATTAGTCACTATGCCAAAGAGTATGTGAAACATTATTTTGCATTGATGCATTTTGTACCTCTCTCCATTAAAATCATAACAGCACCCCCCCCCAAATTGGGTGGCCTCTTAGAGACGGCTGGAAGCTTTATAATAAAGCCCTAAACCCCCAAGAGATGAACGGGTGAACTTTTATTGAACAGATCCTACATGCCAGGAACTTTACGCAACATTTCCATGATAGTTATTGTTAGCCTCATTTTGCAAATGAGGATATGGGTCTCAGAGAAGATAAGTAACTTGCCAAAGTTCACAGGGCTAGTAAATGGCAGAGCTACACTTCATAAATAGTTCTTTCTGACTCCAAGACCCCCAGCTGCCTGAGAGTTAGAAGAAGGTAAGGTGCCCCATCCCATCCTCCTTAGGGCTTGGCAGGCAGCGGCGGTGGGGGCACGATGCTTCAGCCCCCCCAGGGTGGCTGATGGGCCTTTGGACCCTTCCAGATTTTCCGCAGCCACCCACAAACCTGCAGCTGTTCGAGGAGGTCCCCAACACGGTGACTCTGACCTGGAACCACAGCCCCGACGTGCAGGAGGACAGCGAGGCCCGCTACGTCATCATGAAGCGGGATGCCAGCACCGCCACCTGGTTCACTGTGGCCGAGCACGTCTTCAGCAACAAGTACACGGTGACCGGGCTGCTCCCCGGCAGGAAGTACTACTTCCGGGTGCTGGCCCGGAAGGAAATCGGTGACAGCGACCCGCTGGACTCCAAGGATACCTGGCTCGTCAACAAGGACAAGAGTGAGTCTGGGGACTTGGGGGTTCAGGTAACGTCTGGGATCCCTGATGGCGGGGATGAAATAAGGGTTGCAAGGGGTACACCCAAGATTTGAGGTAAAATCTGAGGAGCACTGAGGTGAAAGGGTTAATTAACATCAGGGACTCTGGGGAGAAAAGCAGAGGTCTGGAAGCCTAGGGGAGATTCCTTCGGGGTACACTGAGGGGTGGGACTAACGCGGAGATGGGGTGGGGAGGTCCCCTTGGGGGTGGGGATGACAGTGGGGGGCCGGAGGGTGAGGAGGGGCTGTGGAGCTGAGAGGCTGACTGAGGTCCTGACTGAGGACTTAGGGAGGGTCCAAGGAGTGGGGATGACATCCAAAAACCCTGGAGGGAGGGCATTAAGGGTCAAGATAGCTGAGGGAATCTTGAAATGAGGGCCTAAACTGGAGAAAGCGGAGACCGTGGAGGCTGCGAGGACGTTGGCGTAAGCTTGGATGGGGAGTTAAAAGCCAGATAACAGCTCGGGTCCGGAGGCTGGCGGCTGGAAAGAAGTCTAGGACGCCCGGGTCTGGAAAAGCGTAAAACCCTGCGGACCTGGTTTAGGTCTTGGAACCCATGGGGGTGAGGAGGTGGCGGAAGGGGAACCTTAGGAACCAGTATAAAGTTGGGGTCCCAGAGTTGATAGCGCGTGGGAATCTAACCCAGGTCCTCGGGGTTCCGTGAGCTGGGTCTCCGGGGCGTCTTAAGAGCACTAAGCCGGCGCGCGATGGATGGGGGCCTTGGGGTGCGCTCACCGCCCTTCGTGTCCCGTCCGTGCAGTCGAGGACCAGAGCGCCAAGCTGAAGCCGTACCAGCAGAAAGATTGGCGCCACGCACCGCGCTTCCTGACCCCGCTCAAGCCGCACACTGTGCTGCGCGGCCAGGACTGCACCATGACCTGCGCCTTCCTTGGGAACCCACGGCCCACCGTGACCCTCTACAAGGGCGACGTCAACCTCACGGCCAACTCCAAGTTCTGGTACAACTCCACCAGTGGCGTGTGCACCATCGTCATCCCCACCTGCACACTCAAGGACAGCGGAGAGTACAGCGTATTGGTGGAGAACGAACTGGGCAAGGACCGCAGCAGTTGCACGCTCACCGTCTACGGTGAGGGTGCAGCGCCGGCTGGCCCGGGACGGTGAAGGTGCCTGGCTGTGTCCCGCGTGGGGCGGAGGCGCAAAATGGCGGCCTCCTGAGCCGTTGATCAACTCTTTTCCTATGGCTGGCGCAGGCTTTTATTTAATCTGACATGGGGTGGTGTAAACATTCTCCAACTGGCCATAATTCGTACCACTGTCCCATCTTCTCAATGTCATTTGCTATGTGCCTGGTCCCCGCAGACCTGGGAGTTTGCAGTCCCTCAGTAGTCTGTAGTTTGCAACCCTTGGTGGGCCTAGACTTGCATTTGAAAAAGACGCCAGTGATCAGGCCTAAACCAGACTTACCAATCACAGTCTCCCTGGCAGGGTTCTGGAAGGAATCTTTATATTTACAAATCTTGCAAGTGGTTCTGATGTGCAACCAGTATTGAAGACTACTGGTCTGGGATAAGGATAGATGGGAGGCACTGAAGGGAACCTAGTGGAGGGAAGCCCTCCCTCTGCACATACGTGTGCTATGTTTCTGCTCATGGGTGCACATATAGGGGAAATATTCTATTTCTTCCTACACACTCTACTGTCTTCACAGCTAAACAGCTAGTTGCATGAACTGTCTAAATGCAAAGATGACCTGTTTTGCTCCTCTCTGTTTAAACTCCCTCCTAGCTTTCCCATGATCCTTTAGATAAAAATCACAATCAACAAGGCACCCCCCCCACCACCATCTATCTCTCCAGCCTCATCCTCTGCCACTCTCTGAAGTCTCCATGGCACACTATTGGTGTCCATGGTTTCCATGGTTACAGATGCCTTTTTTTTCATCCTGTTATAGATGCCTTTCTCTGGGGAAAGGACCTGGTCCTGTTGTCTGTCTCTCAAGTACTCAGCTAAGTGTCTGGCATTGAGATGACGCCTTCACAGTGGCTGCTGAACTGTGTAACAGAACTAGGCCAGGGAAGGCCCTGTGGGAGATATCCAGCTCTCATTCCACAGCTAGAGAGATCCCTGACAACTTAATTCTGGCTGTGAGCACATGGGCACAGGGCCGTGGCTCCAACACTCACCAGCCATGTGACCTTGGCAAGAGCCACTCTGAGCTTGTTTTCCCATGTACTGCTTAGGGCTGTCATGAGGATTAAATGAGATAGTGCACAGAAGTGCCTGGCACAATGCGTGGCAAATACGAAATGCCGAATAACTGGCAGACTGGGGCTGGCAAGGACTGAGGATCCCGGGCAGGGTCCAGCCCCTGGTTCCTGCATAGCGACTGCAAGTCTGGCAATTTGGAGTTTCCCTTACCCCAGCATCATTCATACTAACAAATACTTGCTTTGCTCTTTCAGACAAAGATGACAAGGCAATTCTAGCCTCCATCACTGAGAGTCTGCAGAAGAAATCAAAGTACCTTATGTGAGCTCCAGCCCAGACCAGGCATCAGGAGGATGCTGTGATGGGGGTGGGGTTTCTTGGCCCATCCTCTGTGTGTGGTCCCAGCAAGAGAGGCCCGGTTCCCTCTGTGATGCTTGTCAACATAAACATTCAGTGAAGGCATGGGACAATAAACTGAGTGAGTGCGCCTGTGCCTGTTCCTAACCATGGTGTGCAGCAGGGACCAAGAAGATAGACTTGGGTGTAGGATGGGTATACATAGAACCGCAACCCCCGAGAGCTCGGTCCAAACCCACCCACATGGGGAACCACCAGCCCCCTTCTGACTGGGCCTCGCCTTGCCTTCCCCTCCTCCACAGCCACACTGCACCCTGCCCTCCCTCCAGGCACAGAGGGCAAAGTCTGCATCTTTCTCCCCATCCTGCCCTTCCCATTTCTTCACTCCAGGTAGGTGTGTCTTCAGAGTTCAGGGGTTGGAAGGGATCAGGACCTTGCCTTTTTAGTGTCTGGGGTTCCCACTATTTGAGAATTAGAGCATCTGAAAGCTAGAACGGATTGGTCATCCTGCTTGCCAGCTTTCAAACTTATGTTTTGCAGCAGAAAACCCTTCCTTTAAAAAAAAAAAAATCTTAAGAACCTACTGGGCTTGAAACAGGATAGGGGGTCTTTGAGCCTCCCTCCTCTACTTTATTCTTTTGCTAGCTCCCACTAGCAGGGAATCTCTGTAAAAACCCTAGTTTGAAAATCACGGATTCATTCAACAACCATATGGGGCTTGAGTCTCTTTATCACATCCCCACAACTGTACAACCCCTCAACTGATGGCGTATTCACCACCACCCAAGGCTTTCCTTTTCACTTCTGGGTCAGGGCACTGCCCATTAAGATGCAAATGCCCCTGGAGTGGGGTGACACGTTATTCTGCCAGGGCTTCACATCTAAAGTATGAACCAGACAATCTAATCTCATTCCTCCCAGCTGTTCAACTGAGCCCAGAGTCCAGGAAGAAAGGAGATGCTTGAAGGGAATCTGGATCATTTTGGAGCAGCTGGCAGGTCTGGGGTCGGGAGGGGAGGAGTTGGGTAGCAGTAGAGGACACTGGGTAACTAGGAGTCACCAAAGGTGCTGGGCACCTGTGCACAGGGGAGTGCATCAAGGTCAAGTTTGGACGGTGGCAAATACTACCCATCCCCCATCCTCTTGATCTACATCCTCACCCACACGCGTGACCAGCAAGTGAGACAAGCTCCAACCAGCACAGTGTGAAAAGAGCCAGGGAGCCAGCCTGGCGCCAAGATGCACCAGCCAGGACTGTGACCCAGGCTGTGAGGACATCCAGGGCCCCTGGCGCCATGCCCCACACCCCCACCTCTCCAAGACAGGCACGTGCCACACAGGCAGACAAGCAGAGCAGCCAATGGCCCTTGGATATTATTTTTTATTTTTTTTCACACGAGCAATAGGATGGAGTTGTCCCATCCTTGCTCCCCTTGCATTGAATGTGCCTCGGGTCTTATGACCCTAGAGTGTCACTGGAGCCCCCTCCTCTCACTCCCAGTGCAGAAGGGGCAAGGAGGAAAGACCTGAGAGTGGGTGTGTATGTGGGGGGCGTCCCAGCTCTCTGAACCAGGCTCAGCAACCCCTCAGCAGCTCCCTGAGGCCCTCTCCCTAAAAGACTTTGACACACAGCAGGTCAGAGACAGCTGGCAGAGTAAGACATAGATAGGCTGGGAGACAGACTACACACACAAGACTCACAAACAGACGCACACACAGGCTGGCCCCTTCCTTTGGCGTGGTTCACCCTAGCCCTGGGGATAGGGTCTGAGGGTGGTGGTATGGGGCCTGAGTTCTGGGACGGCCTTTGAGAGATGGGACCAACTTGAACCCTTGGTACCCCAAACTCCCAGGCCAAAGTAGTCCCCAATCTTGCCTACCTGGATAGACACCCCTTCACCTTCCCACCCAACACTTAGAGATTAAGATTGTTCAAGTAACAAGGATAGATGTGGGAAAGGGAGACTCCACCTCATCCAATCTTCCCGACTAGCGGCCTGTGAAAGGGGCTTCAAGCCCTGGACGTGGGTCATCTCAGCACAGACTCCTCCCCTCCTCCCTCAACTCTGTGCAAGTCAGAAAGACTGGAAGCGGGTGAGTTAGACTCTTCCACCTAGTAGAAGTAGGGGAGGTTGAGAGGATGAGCACCATGGCCCTGCAGAGGGGCTCTGACAGTCTGGATGGGGTACAGGTGGGGAGATATCTTCTCCTGGCTCCAGCAAGGAGCATCAAGCTGGCTCTTATTAGTTCTCAGCATTGTCCTGGACCACTAGCTTTGCTAGAAAGATCCTTTTGCTGCTTATCCCCTCAAACTTGTGCATTTCACAGGTGGTACCTGCTGCCCCAGGCTGGTACTTCAGCCATCCTGATCCAGCTCTTGCAGGTTCCCAGGTTCCGGACCCCAGCGCCAGGAGAAGAGAGGGGTGACGAGAACCTGGCCCCTCATTTGACCTTGCTCAGTCTGTAGTCTTCCACTGGCTCCCGGCTCTCGACAGCTGACAGGGCGATGAGCATCTGGGCGGCGTAGTAGGTGGACATGATGAGGGCCCGCGAGTAGGGCACAGGAAAGCAGAACTTGTTGAGGGCGATGGTCAGGTCTGAGACAATAAAGAGCAGTGCACCGCTGCCCGCCGCCAGCTCAGTCCAGCGCCAGGCAGTCCCAACCAGCTGTAGCCCTGCCACAGCCCGCCAGCCCATGAAGCTGATAAGGGCCATATAGACCCCCACCAGGTAGGTGAAGGCACCTGTGAGGCATGGGTAGAGGAGGGCATAGCACAGGCCCGACAGTACTGCCATCACCAGACCTGTCCGAAGAGCCAGTGGCCGCATGCCAAAGGCCGAGGCATAGAACATGTGGGTCACAGCAAACATCAGCAGACCTAAAAGTGAGAGGGGATGATGGGATGTTGAAGGCAAGCTCAGGTGAATAATGATTGACACGAGGTGGGGGCAGGAGTAGAGTGCTTGGGATAACCCAGGAGCTTTCTTCTGAGAGTAACAGGGGTGGGAAGAAATCCATGAAGGCAAAGATACCCTCCCCAACTCTCCTGTGGCACTCCAGAACTGATCACCATATCACCGGCAGGGTCATCCTCCAACAGGGGCCCCAACAGTCTTTGGCCACAGAACCCCTCAAATTCCCCATATTCTTGTTTAAAAACAAAAACAAAAACAAAAACAAAAAAACCTCCCTTTCCCAAATCCTTGGCCCCCCAGGGTCCTCTAGCCCCCAACCCCAGGATTCCTCCCAGGTAGCTACTGTGATGACTGACCGTGCACAAAGTAGCCCTGGTCCTGCCAGATGAGGAAGGCGTCACCTAGAGCAGAGAAGATGAGCCCCACAAAGATGCGGGTGGCACTGGGGTGGGCCAGCAGGAATCCCAGGCCGTGGGCCAGAAGGAAGAGCCAGAGGCAGAAGATGGGCAGGCACTTGATGAGGGCGCTGACCCACGACGGGCTTGACGAGGGCAGCCAGAGCACAAAATACACACAAGTGGCTTTGAAGAAGGGCACCAGCTTGGGTCCCTCACTCTTCACCTGGAGGACATAGGACAAGGGCAGAGAGGCAGAAGATGGGCAGGCACTTGATGAGGGCGCTGACCCACGACGGGCTTGACGAGGGCAGCCAGAGCACAAAATACACACAAGTGGCTTTGAAGAAGGGCACCAGCTTGGGTCCCTCACTCTTCACCTGGAGGACATAGGACAAGGGCAGCACTCAGAGCGTGGGAGCTCAGAAGCCCAAAACGGGGCTCAGAGCCAGCACCCTCAGCCCAGGCATCCACCCCAAAGACAGGCCCACCACCCAAGCAGAGAGGATAGACACACAGAAACCCAGTTTGGCCTGCCCCAAGCAGCCAGCAGAGTGTGAACAAGCCCATCATTGCCCTGAGGCTTAATTGATTAGGAAGAGAAAGGGCTCCCCTGTCCCTGCTAGGTGCATCCATTCTTGGCCCTGGGGCATGACCAGAATAGTCACTCACTGCGCAGAAAACAGACTTTGCAATAGTGTCCCGTCCTGCAGCCCAATGCGTCTCCCTTCCTGCCCCCTCCCTCTCCTTCCCCAAAGCCCCTTTAGCCTCTCTCTGCCAGCATCAGCCCCCAGCTGTCTGGAATAGAGTGGAGTCAGCAGGAAATCCCAGA